GTTCTACGTGGCGTTTGCGCAACTGCAGTCGAGGTCTGAAGCTTGAGAAGAGGGACGATGTGAAAGAAATACAATGAGAGTATTAGCGCGTGGAGAGTGTTAGAAGGCATAAGATACAACGGCGTCAAAAGAAGAAAATCTAAGACGGGATGACAGCAAGCTAAATGGACCCAAGAAAGGTGAATATGGTTGCTGATCTAGAAACCAAGTACTAGTTGGGCCACAGCAGGTGCCCAGTTTTGGGAAGGTAGCTAGCAGGGAGGCTAGCTGTTGGACTTTGAGAACGGGCGGTAGTTTTTGGCTTACCAAAGCATCGTGACATGTCGTCCTTGTTGTGCAAAAAGAAGGGTGACACTAAACAAGTAAAAATCAACAGCTTTCCAGATAATTGTTAAGAATCGTAACTTAACTGAGGTCTACTACGTCGACCCAACAGGAGAGTAAGATTAAGGATCACCAGTCGCCAAGTCACTGCTGTCGACTCCAGAATACGAATGGTGCATGGCAAAAAACAACCATTAAGCGCTATCTGTGACTGCTTGTAATCAGGAAATGATCAGTTGTTAGCATTTTTTGCATGAATGACAAGAGAGAAGAAGGAAATATGCTATGTTAGGAAGATGAAATGGACTACGGGTGGTGTGACCCCACTAATACGAAAGTAGCAACACCTTGCATCTCGGCGTTAGTCATGGGCCTCACACGGTACCCCATGCATAAATGTTTGAGGAAGTGTGCTATGTTAGGAAGATGAAATGGATTACGGGTGGTGCGATCCCACTAATACGAAAGTGGCAACACCTTGCATCTCGACGTTAGTCATGGGCTTCACACGGTGCCCCGTGCATAAATGTTTTCCTGTTAAATGACACAACCGGGACGAGTACAGTCCAGCAGCAACAAACAAAAACAACAGAGTACTTTTATTAATTTCCTGAATTGAAGGCCATGCTCAGAACAACCGGCGATCAGGGAAGCGTCCGTGCTACTGAGGTGGCTGGCGAGTATACGAACGCATCATGGTGCAACGCAACGGGTCGACCCTCTCTGAAGGGCATACCCGTCCACCACACGAAGTTTCCATCCCCCATGCATGCTACCAGATCTGCAGTGTGGAAACCCACCCAAGCAGTCTTAAGTGCGGTTTGTGCATTAATAAATAATTCCAGCTACTAGGTATTTTATCCGGTCCGGGGAAAAGCCAGGCCAGTAAAACAGCTCAATCATTTCGAACAAGCAAACAGCAAACAGCCAATGGAAGAGGCAAGTCGCGGAAGTAAATGAAACATCAACTACTTTTGGGCAATGGGGGAGATGTTCAGAGCAAGTATATTATGACTAAACGAAGAGAAGCATTGGTGTGAACCACTCTGTCTAGTAGAGGCGCACCCGTGTTATGTGTATGTGTGAATGATTGGGCTGTAGGGCCAAACAATTATTTCATTCATAGCGCATCTTCAGACCCACCATTTGATATGTGTGCGCTGCGCCTGTTCAGGGGATGCAGAATGGTTCAGGACAGCGAGGAACTTAGGCTCCAGTTTGGCTAAGGTTAGTTAAATCCAGTCAAAAGCAAAGCTCACATCCGCCACACCTTGAATGAGCGTGTGGATGTTTATAGTCCAGTGTTGGTCTTGACCGCAATCTTTCGGATCTTGTCGGAATGGAAACTTCAGACTCTTCAAACGTTGTGTGTTCTTCAGAAACGCTTTGTTCAGATACCATAAGATCATCTACAAAGGACTCATTAGTATTTGAAACAACAGGATTGCCGTTAACAGACTGACCTCTGGTATTGAACTCAACCTGGTCAATGTGTCTCCGATGGCAAGAGAGATCATCCAAATCGATAATCGTGACCCTTCGTTTGCCAGTTGATGAAAGTACTATTCCTGTAGCAGGTCGTAAATCATTATCCTTGAAAAGTGTAATATCAGCCGTTTTGGCACAATCAAGACTTGTACGCAATGAACGAGATTTAAATAGAAGCGCGGGACTCTTCCCAGTAACGGTATGGACGGCGCTTATGTAGTCCCTTTTAGAAAATTATCAATTCCACGGTCCAATTTCACAAAAGTAGTAGGCTAAAGTGTTCGGACTAAATTTTCAGCACGTCCATTCGACTGGGGATGTCGCGGAGCAGTAAACAGATGTCGACATCCAAGACCCTTCAACCATTCCTCGAGGAATTTTGCAGTGAAGTGTGTGCCGTTGTCAGTGACCAAAACAGTTGGTACACCTTCATGGCTGAATACTTTCCTCAAGGCTTGCTGAGTGAATTCGGCACTTGGAGACCTGGTGAGAAAAACTTCAGGCCAACGCGTCAACAACGACTAAAGTATAGTATTCGCCGAGGAAAGGACCACAGTAGTCAAGAATGGGACCAGGCTTGAAAAACTAGAAATAATTTAGCTGGATACAAAAGCTTAAGGCCGGAGGAAGGAAATGCAGTCAGGTCAGTGGAGACGGGCTTGACGACAATTACTATGGCAAGCGCTAGACATTCTTTGCAATTCAGAGAGCGGCAGATGTAATCACAGGAAGTGAACGTCTGCACGAGAGATAGATAAAGTGGTAGGATTTAGATAAGAACTCTTGGGAGGGTGGTCGTCGAACTTGCGGATTAATGCTAAGGGTTTCAGGCTGGTAAGTGCTAGGACCTAGTACCAGGACAGTCAGGGTGAGTGCGCAAATTAGAAGGGCTTAAGGCCTACTTAAAAATGTGTCTAGTGTAAGCTGAGGCGCGAAAAGCCGCTAAACTCCCTCAATAGGAAGGCGAGAATTGATGGCCTTTCGAAAGCCTACGTGAGATGAGGTAGTACGGATATGCGAGGGGAGCTTGTTCCATAGTTTGGACTACAGGCAAGGGAAAAAGTTTTGTCTAAAGACACTTCGATATGTCGACAGTGGAAGTAAACAACCAGAGTTACGGATATTATAGGGAGTACAGGGAGAAAATTCAGGGTGGCAGTTAGCAATGTGAGCCCGCTGGTAGATTAGGCGATGCAGAAGGCCTAGATTCAAACTGGTGCACCTTACCCATAGTGGATCCAGCCCAAGTGACAAACAGCGAAGACGATACAGTAGTGTGGATGACACCGGAAACAGGGACGTAGTAAACGGGCGATGCACATTCTCAACAGCGGTCCGGCGTGTCTATGAACACCGTGAGGGGAATTGAAGGCTGCGTTCAAGATTGGGTTTTACAAATTGTTTGAAAATGGCAATTAAGCATGATTTATTATGGAAGAAACGGTGAATGTATGCGCAGATCTTGCTAGCTTTAGCCACTCTCTACCTTGCATGTTGGTTGAAGCTAACTTCACAGGAATACCTAAGGCCTAGGTTTCTCGCTTCGGGATGAGTAGGAATCGAGGGTCCATTAAAAGTAAGCGTCCCAGGAGGAATTTGGAATCGATGTGACAGGGCTTGGCATTTGGAAAAGCGAAAGAAAGACAGGAATTGGAAGACCAGAGTGCTAAAGAATCCAGTTCAGACTGAGTGTTAGCAAGAGTAGAAACAGAATCACTGGCCTTAAACGTGTGAGCTATTTTAGTGTCATCAGCGAACAGAAAAGGGGATCCATGGGTGATCGAGTCGGGGACGTTATTAACGTATAGTAAGACGTACAGTAAGAACAGTAGAGGGCCAAGCACACTACCCTGAATAACTCCACTGGTAATGGGGACGGCTGAGGTGGAGAGATCCTTGATTTTGGTGGCCTGGGTTCTCCCAGTGAGGTAAGAAGCGAACCATCGCGGTAGTGGGCCAACAACCCCGTAGAACGTAATTTGATGAGAAGTTCACCGTGGGAACTTATTCGAATGCCTCGCGAATATCAAAATAAATAAGAATAATACACAGTCCGCTAACGTAGGCGGACGAATTATGATTGAAGAAATCAACCTATGTGTTAACTGACCACCGTGCCATAAACCCATACTGCTGAGTGCTAAGGGTTTGGTGGCCAGCAGGTTATCCATGACCTGGGCATTCATAAGGCACTCTAGGGTACGAAGGATTAAGCAGGTATGATTGATGCCACGATAGCTGACTAGAGCAGTTCGTGAACCTGATTTATAGTTTGGGACAACGGTAGAGTGCTTCCACTGACTAGGGACTGTGCCAGTGATAAGGGAGATATTGAAGAGATTAAGGATGAGGGTGGGGACGTCCGGGCCACCAGCTTTTAAGATAAGTGAAGGGATGCCGTCAGTGCCTGGGAAACTGGAGTCTCCAAGGCGGGCGAGAGACGAAGTTACATCAGACAAAGTAACAGAGAGTGTGCAGAGGTTGGGGCTTGTCTCGTTAGCAGATGCGGTCACTTCGTAACCAGGTGGGGGGCAATAAGTAGTTAAAGTCGACGAGGAGGAACATAACAGCTAGCAATGTAGGAGTTTAGGGATTCCACAATGTCAGAAAGAGGCTTCCCGTCAGCGGCCACAATATTTGAAACTATAGATGAATTTGAGATGCAACGCCGGCGAAAGAGGCTCCCCAGCATTTTAGGCTGTAGACAATGGGATATGGCGGTTGATTCCTCGCTCTTTTCAAGGGCGAGTTTGGGCGTGGTAATATTGGTCATAAGTTTGTTGATTTCAATAAGAAGCGAGAGATCATGGGTTTCAAGGAAAAGCCTTTGATGCTCCCCAAGTTTGTGGCGTATAACGCGTAATCGTGTGGCTGGATGGCGACCAGGAACATAGGAAGCTCGTGTGGGAGAGAGCCACTTCTCTGTGATGCAAATGAAGGTCGGACGAGCTGTAGTGGAGATAGCTTGGATGCACAGCAGTTTAAGTAAGAGAGAGCGGGTGTTGGTTGGAACGACAGAAAGATTGCTAGCGGGATCGGGGGAGGTGGGTAATGTGGCTAGCAAGAATTTGACAAGCCCAGGGAGGTCAGTATTGAATGGAGTAAAGACAGGGGAATCGGGGATTCTCGAATTGTTGGGCGAGGTGGGACTAGGTAAAGATACGCGGAAATTATATGCTGGGACGCACCGTTATGGGTACCGAGGCAGCGTTTGGGTGGCAGTGCAGGCAGCGGAGCTCCATGGACAAAAGAAACAGGCTGGGTCGGGCAATCGTTTGCAATAATGCAATCGACATGAACAGGAGATGGTACCGTGTGTGGCAGCTCAACAGAAACAGTGGGATTTAAGTCACGCGGGATGGAAGGACAGGTGAAGTGTTTAAGAAACAGGGAATGGGAGGGAAATGCAGAGGCACTGAGAGGGCGGATGGACCTGTTTTGTAGAGCCTTCAGCATCGAATCAGAGGGGGTGGAGGGAACGGGTAACCAAACTAGGCTGATTGGAGGAGATGGAATAAGAGATTTATGGTGAGAAATGCAAGAAAAAAAGAGGGAACAGGGCGCAGTGAGGAAGTTAGTGGTATAGTCAAATTCTTTGGGAGGAGTGAGCTCCGTTGAGGATGAGCAGTAAGGGGGAATGGAATAGTAAGTCGAGATACAGTTAAAGTTCGTAGAGGTGGAGCTTCACGTGGCTTCGGAGGGGATCGGAAGCCGTGTTGGAGTACGTGGTTGCTGAAAAGGGATCCCGAGCATTTAGTACGGGGGTTTCCAGGGTAGCGGAACTTGATAGGGGATAGGATTGCGTAACGGTAGTTGTGGTTTAGAGATCCTGTCGGGGAACTGGTTTGCACGGCTAGAGGGGTAACAGATGTGCTTATGGGGAATTACGGGTTTATTCGGGCTTGTAGAAGAAGGGTGAAGAGCAGGAGCGGGGCACCTCTACAGGAGAAGGGGTTACGGTGCGAGGCTTGTAGAGCAGTTGATCGAGTTCAAGGAGGCGCTTCGGTGGGGAGACACCAAGTGTCATTAGGTCAGGAGGTCTAGAGAGAGAACCTGTTCTATCATTCCCCACCGCAGTCTCATGTGTGGGCTGATTAGTGACCGTATCTCTTAAATCAGAAGTCGATCTTGTTGGCGTGTTGGAGGTCAGGGGTAACACTTGTGGATGCTCTGAGATAGAAGTGGAGGGCCCATGGTCATGAGCGTTGGGTACAGGGCCTGGGTCCAACAGACAGCTTTGTCTAGCATTGTAGCAGTAGTCAGCGCACGTACTGGTGGGTGACGGGGTAAACTGTCTTTTCATTCTAGTACGGGCAGCTTTAATTTGTTGGTAGAGAAGAGTCTGAGCTGTTAGCAGAAGCGCGCTATTTTTCATCCCCCGGACTGTTCCGACTTCCGGAGCCGCCGAGCTGTGCATATGGTGTCCTGCATGCCACATGAATTAAGGATGGCAATTTTGGCATGCTCAAGTGGGATTTGATCAGGTGCATTGAATATAAGACTTGATGCCAGCATTCGATGCGTTGACAAATTTCAGAAGCAATCTTGCCAATACGGAGTGACACTTTTTCTAAGTTCGTTGAATCACATGTTGCGTCCCGATTTATAAGGCATGCAATCGATCATATGGTTCGAAGGGAAGACATTTAGTTTTCCATTTGGCGCACACGTGTTTTGAGATTTTCCAGGTCATTCAGGATTTCAGAACCTACTGGTAGCGGTGAAAACGTGTTGCTGGGTTTAGGAAGCAAAGATATATAATAATAATAATAATAATGTTTATTCCCAACTTGTGGGTGGCATGCCGTCTGGCATGATCATGCGTTTACAGTCAGAATGGGGCATTACTGAGGGATTTGCGGGTAGTGTTGACTGCGCGAAAAGGGAACAATGTCACAAACAGTGGGAGGTACTCGATTAAATAATAATAATAATAATATGTTTCTCTTGCAACTTGTAGTGAACAATAGGCATGAGGTCCGAGTAATTCAGTGACTCAGTTGGCTGCCATGAACTAAAACTGCAAAACCATTGCTGGCCATGAGTGACCTTGGGCGGTTGGGTAAATGGCCGGTGTCCTAACTGTAGTGTGCGTTGTCTGTCAGTTTGATTGATTCATATGTAAGTATTGGTGATGTACAACCTTGCTTACTGGGCTTTGGCTCATGAGCTTTGTTTCTGTTTTCCATCCACAGAAATTGTCGTGAACACCTGCCTTCGGAGAATCACGGTCCCCTGGTGCTTCCATAGCGTGCATATTACAATAACAAGCAAAAGTGGAGGTGGAGATGGGATAATCCGAATTGGGAGAACACGGCAAGTTTAGTCTCAAAAATATGGTGCAATCTGAAAACAAGCAGACTCACTGGTTGCTCTGTTGTTGGGAAGTCAGGTGTAGGGGTTAGGTTTGATGTGGACACAGAGGTGGTTGAATTTGAACGAGTGGTCCAACAGGTTGGAATGAATGTCATGGTGGTCGATTGGGGTCAATGAAACGAGTAGGCAAGAGGGCACGGTTGAGGGGAGGAATGGAACAGTTGCGGGTGTGCTATCAAACTGAGTATGACAGTGCCGTGCCATCATTGGCCTGACATGCTTCAGTTTTTGGACAGCCCCGTGACGGACGTCACATTTGAGATGATTCGTCTTGGGTATGCAGTTCATTGAGCAGCGGTATTCATTTCAGCCTGGTCGAGGAAACAAGCTCGAACGAAGCCGATATGGGGCTGCAGGTTTTCTTGGTCCGTTTGGTGATCCCGGAGTTGTAGATCACAGGCCAGGTGGAGTGGAGATCAGCTAACCAGATCGTCCAACTTCCGAAGTTTAAGGTTTGGGAAGGTGAGGGGATGGGAGGAGATTTGCAAAACATAGTGAGTTTGAGGGGATATGAAATGGGATAATATGCACTTATATACATAGAAAAAAAAACTTGGCGTCTGATGCAACTAGGATGATGACAAGCGATTACATGGAGTAGGGAGCAGAAAGATTTGTACTTAGTAGCTAGCGACCATACAGATGAGAGTCCAGTTGTATAACTCTAGAACAACTGAATAATCTGAGGTTGCTTAAAATACTGTCTTTGCTAGCCTCGAAAGGTGAGGGGGTTGGCAGCTGGATCTACTGGATCTAAGCCGCTGCATTGAACATACTGGAAGGAGAGCTGATGGGGACTCGGGGTCTAGCAACCGCTTCGAGGAGGAAGGCGGGAGCAGTGACATGATAAAAACTTCGGAACAGGTTGAGGAATTATTGATTTGGTGGAATAGAGTTGGGAGAGTTCTAGGGTCGTAGAACCATGGATTGATTTAGGAGAATCACAGTCAGTCCTATATATAGATGTAGGCTGGTAGTACAGATATGGCTGATTAAGCAAGGGACAGTTGCGGAACGTTGGACGGAACGGCTAGGTAGATAAGGAAGAAACAGATCAACGAACTGAGGCCAGCAATGATTACGGAGAACGAAGCAAAATAGATGCACCACGAAAAAATAGCTATAAAGAATAAAAAATGGCTAAACAAATATGGAAGGGCTACAATCCAGGAAACATTTCAGACAGAGATGTTCTGGTTCGGCAATCAGGCTCAGCCCCATGGGACGTGAAATTCCGATATATGAAGCTATAGCACTTGTAAACTGCTCTTTTTCATACTCAGTATCTTCTTTTCTCCCATCATTATCAGTCACATCGCTGTAGAAAAGTTTGTTTTCCTGATATACAACCGCTACCGCCCGGTCGTTGGCTCCAACGTGACTTTGAGACTTTTGCTGAGTGACTGTTGTTGCGGCCGCCGGTTGGCTATATTTAACCGCTGCTAACACTGAACGTGAACAAACATTTCAGCTACAAACACTGGACTAATATATTCACGCTTGTGGTATAATATTTCGATCACCGGAGATCTGGGATAGCAGGAAGATAGAACTCTTCTTGGTGTGGTGTTTCAACGGAATACGGAACTACGGAATCTCCTATTTTGAACTGTGAGTCAATANGTATTTTTCTCTTTGTGACTTTGTATCTGGCTTACATCAGTAATTTGTTCAGTTCACTAGAGACTCCATAGGGCCGTTAACCACTACACATATAGAAATCTTAACATGAAAACTCGAGCTATCTTCGGAAGCCAATGGATTAGAATGACCTGTCGGCCTCTATAGGTTATAACTATGGATGATTAGGCGACTACAGAACGAACTTCCTGACAACAATGGTTCTCAAGTTCCAAGAAAGAATATTCCGGAGCATTCTATATGCACTTCTATGCATTTACTAAACGCGCAGTTTGGCCTAGCATAAGAATCGGTCGATTGCTTTGCAAGAGGATGGAATTTAGTAGGGTTGACAGCTGTTCCTGGATGGGGACCTCGGGACTCAGCTACTCAGCAGTTAATGAGGTTGGCTCCAACGTGACTTTGAGACTTTTGCTGAGTGACTGTTGTTGTGACCGCCGGTTGGCTATATTTAACCGCTGCTAACACTAAACGTGAACAAACATTTCAGCTACAAACACTGGACTAATATATTCACGCTTGTAGAATAATATTTCGATCACCGGAGATCTGGGATAGCAGGAAGATAGAACTCTTCTTGGTGTGGTGTTTCAACGGAATACGGAACTACGGAATCTCCTATTTTGAACTGTGAGTCAATATTTACTTGTATTTTTCCCTTTGTGACTTTGTATCTGGCTTACATCAGTAATTTGTTCAGTTCACTAGAGATTACATAAGGCCGTTAACCACTACATAATTGGTGAGCCCGAAAAATTTTTGCTGTCTTCTATTTTTCTTCCTAGCACAGAACTCCCATATCTCTCACGCATACGCTTAGTCCAGTTATTTTTTCCCAAACATGTCTAACAAAGACGGACTCAACACAGTTGGTTGAAAACTCCGTTCACGTAAAACTGCCAGCTTTTGGAGTCAGTAACCCTAGAGTATGGTTTATCCAACTGGAATGTTACTTCCATTTCCGCCGAATTACGTCGCAGCACACCATATTTTCTTACGTGGTTTCTCAACTCCCGACCGAGGTTGCCGCGGAGGTTATTGACCTGATTGATCCTATGCCGGCATCAAATCCCTATATCACACTACAAGCAGCAATTATTAAACGAACAGCCATCTCGGACGAAGCGAATCTGCAAAAATTGCTTGCAGGGGTCGAACTGGGCGATCGCACACCTTTGAAACTGCTACGGTACATGAAAACTTTGCATGCGGAAGTCTTCTGACGACGCAATTTTAAAGCAGTTGTGGCTGCAGTGTCTCCCCTTGAGCATTCGCCAAATTCTGGCTACCCAGCCAGATGTCCCTCTGTCGTCACCCGGTGAGACGGCAGATAAGATCCCCGAATGCATCGCCGGACGTTTGATGGCCTCAACCTAACAACAACCCATTCAGCTTAACGAAAACCCTGTTATGGCACGCCTCGATCGAATGCAGGCGCA